TTTAATGTTTTCATGAGTGACATTATGAACTAATGGAGTAAAACACAATCAGAGTCACTAATTCACACAGCAAAGGCCACATATTTAATGAGGGAGATCCATGTTCAGACTATCATTGATCCCACTCTCATGTCTGTGTAGTAACTATGAAGCTACAGCCATCAATGTCAGTTAAGCTTGCAGCTCAGAGAGGCTAACTTTGGTCGCAGTCTGCAGGTGAGTCATTGGATTCATAGGAGGAGGCGGGAAGCTGCCACCACATACGTCTCCTGCCTCCAGATCAGTCAATAGCTAAATTCAGATGCACATCTCCCAACAAAAGAGGACACTGAAAGGATGTACTGGTACTCATATCCACATAATTAGTACAGTTTAAACTTCCTTCCACAGTAGTAATCTTTTATTTAACACAACTTCACTTCTCACGGAAGTAAGCCGGCTGAAGGACAGTATCTTTCAACTGCACTCTCTCTCTCTCTTTCTTTCTTGGATAAACAAAACCACACATGCTTTCTGGTTACCTCTCTTCACATTTACGTTTAAACTACATACTTTAAACATGTAGTAGCACTATGGAGCGGTTTTTCTAAGAGTGGGCCTCAGTTTGACACCATATACATACACAGTTGGTGGTTTCACACTGTTGTGATGACCTACAGGTGGTAGTAATGTGTCAGGATATGCAGCAATGCACCATCAGTGCCTCCTTGTGTAATTATCCAAGAGATCAGATTGTTGCTGCCTGAATTTCTACTCTATCAGTCAAACACTGCAAAAGTATAATATGATGGGTCAGAGGAAAAGTCTCAAAACTCCTAAAAACTAATGTCTAACAAACAAACCTCCAACACTGACTGCATGAATATTACCAGGTCTTACTATCATAGTTTGTTTACCTTTGTGTTTATTTGGTGTAATACCCTTCTTTGAACACTGGGGTGGCAGTCACCTAAAAATAGGACCTGTGCCATTTATTGTTAGGAAGCGGGATTTGATGGCAGCCAGGGTGTGTGTTTGCATCATTGGTGGGAGGGCCACTGGATTTTTATATAACGACCATGGCATGTGATTAGTCTCGGAAATTTGGTTAAGCTGTGTCGACTGGTGTGATTTATTGCTCCTTCTGGATGGAAAGGAAGTTTGTAAAAGTCGTAGTAAATGTGCAGCAGCCGGCGTCTGGACTATTGTAATTGGTCTGGATTCCGTTGTACACAGCTGCATGCCTTTCAACACTATAGGTCAGTTAATGTCAGCTGGTCAGGCTGACAGGCCTAAATCATGAGCATAGCAGTGTAAATTACCTTGATTCTTGATCACATACATTTCTACTCAGAAGAGTTTATTTGTACGTATGATTTATAACGTCGTCAGGGTGTCAGTTAATTTATCAGCTGTCTGGTCTCAGATAGAGATTTGTTGCCAGGAATATTCGGGACAAACATTTTTTCTAGTCAACTAGTCTAAATGTAGACAAAAATGCCTCAATGTTGATGCCACCTTTTGCTGATGTTTAGTAGTTGGTTCTCGTTCTTGGCTGGGATTGATTGTCTGGCATGGTGTAAAATTAAAATATTG